ATACTTTTAGCACTGGTCTACTGTCCCTTGGCCTCTGCTTTGAAACCCTGAGCTGTACTCAGATGGGTTGGCAGCTCACTCCTGTTCAGGATTTCTGAAATTCATTTTGTTCATACTCTTTGCAATGGTTTGACACCCTCTGCTCTATCCTTTACTTCCAGGGAATTACGCCTGAAGTGAGATTGCATCCCTGCAGAAGAAAGGCCAGTTTGGGGGAATGAGGACATGCAGGATCTTGTCCAGTAATTATACTACTAGATCAAAAATCTTGTCGTAAAGTAAGCCTCTTTTGCAAGAGATAAATGTTATTATTATTAATAATACTTTAGACAGTGCAGTTACAGCTTAATGACATAATTGTGCCCTTTGATGGAACCCTTTATCCAGAATCTCAGAGGGTTAAGGGTAATGAAGTTGGTGTTGCTGAACTCCAGGGACAGATGTAGAAACTGAGGCACACAACATTTCTTAGTCCACCTTTTCAGATAGATTATGGAACCTGTAGCAGACAGCCCATAACTTTTCTGCCACTGCATCTCTGTCTTTAGCCACAGCCTGGAGATGAACAGCTATAACTCAGAGAAAAGGCACTGTGCACTGTGCTTCTCACGGTTTCTGGGCTTTGAGATGCACAGAAATGCTGGATCCTGCTTCTTTCTCATCAAGAAGGTTATAAAGAATTCCTGTGCTGTAGACATGCCTTGAATGGTGCAGATAGAGGCAAAGACAGACATGAAAATAAAACATTAAACAGAGTCCTATCTACAGGAAATTCTTGTTATTTATTGCACTGCATGGTTGCTCATTAAAATCACTCCCTGAAGCACTCATGAAGCAAAGAAGGCACTCCTCCTCCCAGGGTAACCCTGTGCCTTCAATTTATCCTTCACGAGTGTTGAATGTTGTTTGATTGCGAAGTGGTTTAACTCTGGATGATAACTACCATGTGTAATAAAGAACCATACATCGATGTGGTCATTCTCTGCATGTAAGGATTGAGAAGGGAGTTAGCAAACAGTCCAAAGGCATATTGAGTCAGATTTTGTTCCTGTACAGCAGAAGAAGTTTGCTTCAGGTCAAGTCTGGGGTCACAGACAGGCCAGCAGAAGTCAAGTTCCCAGTGTCAAAACCCTTCATTTACAGCATTGCCATCTCAGTTCCCCTTCCTTTACACCCCATGAAGACACAGCCACCCTCTACTCCCTGCAGGTACAGAATGAAAACCTACAGAAATCAGAGGCGATGTCTGCTTGCTGAAGGTATTCATCTTTCCCGTTTGTTACCATCTCTCTCCCTGCTCTTCACATGTTTCCTCTGCACTAGAGTAATCAGTAGGAATTTCATTCTCTTGCAGAGGCTATTTTTCAAATTACTTCATGGATAGCTATCAGGGTGCCAAAATAAACAGTATCTTCTGATGATCAGTATCGCTACAGAGATCTAGATTAAACTGGATATCCTTGTTATTTTTTTTCTTTCTTTGCACTTTCCCAACCCCTCTCTAAGGCCAGCAAAGCAGTTGCCTTTCTGAAAATTCTTGGGTCACCGTGACTCATGGGCAAACTCAGTGCCTGAGATGCATTCTCTGAGGCTGATGTCTGGGTTGTCTGAGGAGGCAGAGGGCACTCTGCTTCCTCAAGTGCTGATGTTCTGTGGTTAGTTGCTATAGAATCCCCAAAATATTAAGCTGATGATGACCTTCTGACTTGCTGAAACTCATGCCTCTCGCATCTCTATCATAGTATTTCTCATAGCATCAAATACAGAGATTGCTTCAATATTTTGCCAGGATGTTACTTATACTCTTTGTCCAGCTAATGTTTTGCTTCATAGCCATATGCAGCCTATAGGAGAAGTAAACAAGAGAGAAATACTTTGGGGAACAGATAAGGGCTTTTTATGTCTTAAGAATAAGATAGTGCAACATCACAAGAAAGTAGTGGGAAAAGTCCAGCAATTATGCCTGGCAATTCTTAGGCATTCCCTATGTGTGAATCTGGATCTGAATGAATTACAGCCAGTGTAAGCAAGCTTGTTGAAAAGCTGTATTTCTGTTTCTCTCCAAATTGCTGAGCAAGCAGAAGCACCAAGTGGGAGTGGGAAGTGATAGGCAGGGCTGTTAGATGTTGACAAGCTCTGCCAAATCATGAATAGATTGAGCGCACTGAGACTGAAAAAAAGATCCTCGCTCTTCATACCCCACATCTGACCAGGGTCTACAGTAATGCACAGGGAACAGCATACAAGTAAATACCCTGAGAACCCTTGCCCTGGCATCTGATGGCTGTCTGCAGCTCAGGATGCTGGTTTCTAAGTCTCAGCAACTTCTTATTCTTTCAAGAACTTACACAAATGACCACTAGTACCCTGTGGTGGAAGAGGATTGGGAAAGGAATTTGTAATGGTTTGGGTAGAGGAAGGATAATTACATGCTAAAGCTTGCTGTTCCTAAGAACATAAAGGATTTGGGAAGAGAGAAAATATTAGTTCTAGAGCAGAAGTTCCTGACAGGTGGAACGTGGCAGCACTACAAAAGGGTAGCAGCTTGGCAAGGCTTATTCTTCAGAGTTAGAAGAAGTGTAAAGAGATAAAGGTGTAAACCATGACAGGGCATCCAGCTGACATCACAAATGACTCTCCTATCATTCCCTTCCATAAAAAGAAGGGTGGAGAAAGAAAGCAGCAACAGTCTGACACATACCAGAAATCAGAGGACAGTTGTTTTATGTCTGGGAGAATACGAAGAGGTTTATTATCAAGCTTGTCTGAACTTCATAGCAACTGAATGGAGCAGTCTGCAGGACTTCAGCAAGATCTTTACTACTTCTTTGAGTTCAGAAATTGCTCGCACCACCCTATGTTTGTTTATTGTTTCTACAATATGTATGATTTTTTTTGTATGCTGTCACTATTTATCTATGAAACTATTTGATATCTTCTTTTTGAATATTGACCAGAGATCCTAAACAGCTAATAATCAAGTTTTATGTGCAGAAGCCCAAGGGAGCTTCCACAGTTTTTCACGAGACATGAATTCTGGGCCTTTGGAAGAAGGTTACTAAAGTCAGAAGGAAACAAGAGCATTCTGTGTTATAACCTCAGTACTATCTTGTATCTGTACAGTCAGGCTTTAACCAGCTTTAAAGCACAATGTGGAGTGTTGCACTCACACTTGCACTGTGTTCCCAACAGCCTCAACAAAAAGCCTCCAACATCATCACTAGTCCATGTTTACAGAGTCAGCCTTGTCCTCAGAGAATGATTTTCAGAAGGCAACAAACAAGAAAATAAAACCAGGCAGTAATTTCGCATGATCTAACATTTGCTTCAACAGGTTTCTGCTCTGAAACTGACTCCAGGGCCTATGCTGTTCCAGTTATTGCCATCACACAGCACTTGCACAGCTTTAGTTTCACAACAGTCAGCAGGTGTAGTGACGTAGGGTGCCCTACACTGTCAGCAGATCACATTTAAATTAGGAGCTAGTCCTGGAGTTAAAAAAGAGAACATGCACACACAGAAAAGAACAAAAACAAAAACAAAAAAAAAGTACTAACAGTGACAAGGTATTTCTACAGCTCTTTTTGCTTCCTTTGGGCCAAATCGTGCTTACCGCACTTATGGCAAAGCACTATTATATTCCTGCTTAACATGCTACTTGAGCAAGCACTTCATCTACCAGCTGTCCTAATTTCCCTGGCAGTTCTTTTCCACGTCATTAAAGGGACTTGCAATGCTTGTAAGGCCGTTCTAATTTAATGAGAATGCAGCATGGCAGATGATACTGTTTTATTGGTGTCCATATCTTATGGTGAAAGGATGACACAGGAATCTTGGCCTGGTGGATATCACCTATTAAAAGAAAGTAGTGAAAAAATATGTATCCTACAAGGTGACCAAAGTAACTAGGATTAAGCTCCTCACATCTCAGACTGAGATCTCAGGAGAAAGTTGAATACAGCATTGCTTCCGAAAATAAATAAGCTAACAAATAAAGACTAACAAAAAAAGAAATGAAATTGGTCCCATTTCTTGCATGTAAAAGACCTTATAGACTTGAGGTGAGCCTTTTGACAGCCAGGGCTGTCATTTCCAGCTTTGGAACAGCTTTTGTTTCTTATGCTTCCATACATTGGTTCATTAACACTTCTCAAGGCTAGCAAGAAACATTTATTTTGATTTTTTTTTTTTTTTTTTTTTTTTGCATGGGTGTGTGGGGGGGATGGCGGAGGGGAATTGTGAAGAAATTGTTTGCTGAAAAGAGGTCCTTGCCATCCTGCAAGAAGTGATAGAAGCAGGTGGTAGGGCAGGCCAGGACAATGGCTGCTGGGCTTCTGCAGCAGGTGGCAGCTCTCAGGTATGGGCTGTGCATAAGACTGCTGAGGCTTCCAACAGAAAAAAAATTGGATAAATAAATAGATAAAAGGAAGCTTAAGCAGATAAGAGGGATGCAGAATTTGTTTCTAAGAGGGGGCCTTCAAAACATTGCTGGTTTAATACAGCTAAATGTATAACAATGTCAATCAGCAAAAAAGAATTCCTCCTGGTCTCCACATGCTTGGAAGTGTTTTCTTGAGAGAGGACCACTGCCAGAACAGCTGGAACTTTCTTTCAGTTCAGTGTCAGACTGACAGGGCTGCAGTGTTGAATTGCATGTCAGTGCCTAATGGTGAGTGAAGGACCCTGACACCAGCCATTTGCTTACAGCTCCACTTTCAGTGACTTTCTGCACACAGTGAGTGGAAAGCTGGACCTCAGACTGTATATAGCCTGTTTTACAGGGGTAAAGTCCTTTTTTCTGTGACCACTGGTACTTAATAAGATGCAAAATGTTTTGTTCTGTTTCTATGTGACATCACTGCAAACACTCACCGATAGCTCTGAAAAAGAAAGGTGTGGATTCCTCTCTTTATCTCTCTCCCCCTACTTTGAAACATTTTCATTTTTCTTCTCTTTGCTTGACTGTGTTGTGTTCACTTTCCTCCACTCCTTATCTCCAGAGGCAGATCACAGTTTCTTCCAGTGGATCAGTAGCCATGACAGCCTGCAGGGCCACATGCCGGTATCCTTGTTGAGCAGGACGGACTGTAGGCTGCCCTCCCAGGGGACATCTTCCTGCTGCAGCCAGTGTTGGTGAGTGAGCCCACCATGCTATTTGCACACAGTAGTAAAGGCAAGGCTTGCTAGATGAGAAACAGTGTTCACACTGATATTACCACAGGACTGCAGTCATATGCAGGATGCTTCAGCCATATCCGTTGCAACATCATCATTAAGCTGTTAACTTATTCTTCCCCCAGAAGTTGTTTCTGTTTTTCTTTCCTCTTGCAGTCCTGGATGCACTGCACCAGATGAGACCTCACAAAGCAGTGGTAGCTACTGAGGATGCACATGTCAAATGAAGCTACTGAAGATGTACTCTCCAAGCAAAGTTCTCAGAACCTCTCAGGGAGGAGCAATGATTGTAATGTTTCTTGTGTCCCAAGGTGAAGAAGGGCTTTTCTCTGGGATGATTTCCCGTAAGTTATTTCTCTTTCTGTTACTACTCCAGATACCATGAGAATGAAAGAAGCCAGATATGAGTATACTGTAAGAAACTGAAGTAGGTCTTGGTGCTGCCTACGGGAGAGAGAAAAAACTCTTGTTTTATGTATACAAATTTGCTTCATGTTCAAGCTCTGCTCACGAAAGAATTTATGTGTGTGTATATTCCTGTTCCTGTTCTGCAGTGTAAACTGAAGATAAGCTATATGCAATACAATGATAGCTGTTACACAAAAAATATCAACCCTTAAGCAGACAGATTTATCTTACCTGTTTTTCTATTGGTGGTGAGTTTTGTTGTTATTTGTTTTGTTTTGGTTTGATTTTTCACCCATGAAACTAATGAGATCATAACTTTCTAGTTCATGGTGATGCCAAGGAAATAGGTGGCCATTTGTCATGGTTTTGTGACTTTTGGTTTTCAGAATTCCACATCATAACATCATACAGTGCACTGGATTAAAGTGTTAATGCTCCGATTCCAGGTACCTGTCCCTGTACATCGCAGAAGTCATGGGACCTGGTCCTTCCATGTGGGGCGCTCTCGTGCTGCCTGGCAGTGGGTGCTGGAAGGTGCTTTCCTAGCCATACCAAGCTTTTCAGATATGACTCGATCTCAGGAACTCTCTTTCTCCCCTATATTATTTTATTAATTAGTCTCAATTTCAATTAGATTGTATTATACTGTGTTATCTTGCATTCCAATATAATAGTTAGTTAAATAACTTTTCCTCCATAGATCATTCTTTTCCCTTTTCCTTCCCAATTAGGAGGCAATGTGGTATTTTTTTATTAATTGAGCAAAGTTTGTCAGTTTTGTTTTTTTTTCACAAGAGATGAGATCTTTAGGGTCAGATGTATCAAATACAAAACCTTGAACTCTCACAAATGAGATACAAATTTTTTCTGTACCTAGTTAACTGAAGGTTCTGACTAGACAGGCTTCATTTATTACAGTGAGTGCAATTAAGGTGTTGTAATGCTCCCAGATGCGTGCTCGTGATCCAACTTTTATAAAACCATGATTATGTGCTCAGCAGTGAAGTTTCAGTACTGTTAAAAAGTTACAAAGAAGTTGCAGAAATTAAGATGATAAAATGACACACACTCTTATGCACTCTGATGTTTACTCTTGTTCCTTTGAACTAATTATGACTCAAGCCCTTAACGGACTACATACGTTTTGGCTGCAGATACACTTTTCTTTCAGTATCCTAGCATATAAGTTTGTGAAAGACATTTACTTCCACCAAATGAGAAGGTCTTGTGTCTTGTGGGTCAACCTAACTGAAGCAAAGGTATCAACATGATTCTGTGGTCTTTATGGGGTTCATAGGCTCACAGATAATGAATTAATTCCAAACCAACAGCCCTGATATGTACACCTACAGATAATGGGGCAATTCCTTAACTGTAATAACTCAGAACAGTGATGCTGAATTCGGTAGAAATGTTGGTACTTTTTATTTCATCCAGATTCCAAGAAAAAGTGAGCCTCTTTTATCTGCCTTTCACTTCAATGCTTAAATTTTAAGCTCCATCTGCTTATTTTTAAGTAAAAGACAGAATTCTTTTTGATATACTTCTGATTACATTTCATAATTATTTTTTAATAATGGTTCTAACTCCACTTTTGTATTAGTTTGATTAAATGAAATCTACTGTATACCCACTGCACATTCACACAGGGTCTGAGTTTTTTTTGGAGGTGGAAGTCAAAGAATCATAAAATCATTTGAGTTGGAAGGGATTAGTCCAACCTACAGCTTGAACAGGTGTTCAGAGGCCCATTCATCCAGACCTTGAATGTCTTTAGGGATGTGGCATCCAATACCTTTCTGGGCAACATATTCCAGCACTACTCTGTACTTACTGTGAAAAATTCTTCCTAGTATCCAAATTAAATCTCCTCTCTTTTAGTATGAAACAATTTCACAGTCCTGTTACAAAAGACCCTGATAAAGAGGAGTCTGTCCCCTTCTTTATAATAGCCCCCTTCAGATACTGAAAGGCAACTGTCAGATCTTCCTGGAGCCTTCTCTTGTCCAAGCTGAACAGGTCCAGCTCTCTCAGTCTGTCCTCATAGGATAGGTCTTCCATCCCTTGGACCATTTTTATAGCCCTCTCTGGACACACTCCAACAGGTCCATGTATTTCCTACACTGAGGACTCCACACCTGGATGCAATACTGCAGGTGAGGCCTTACCAGTGCAGAGTGGAAGGGCAGGATCACCTCCCTTGCCCTTCCGGCCACGCTGCTTTTGATGCAGCCCAGGATATGGTTGCCTTTCTGGGCTGCAAGCAGACATTGCTGGCTCATGTCCAGCTACCATCCACCAGTACTCCCAAGTCCTTTTTGGTAGGGCTGTGCTCAATCCTTTCATCTCCCATACTGTTTAGTGAGGGTTGCCATGACCCAGGTGCCAGACCTTGCACTTGGATTTATTGAACATCATGAGGTTCTTTCAGGCTAACTCGGTATTGGTCTCCCTGGATGACATCCTGTCTTTCAGGCATGTTCACAACATCACACAGCTTCATATCATCCACAAACTTGCTGAGGGTGTACTCAATCCCACTGCTGATGCCACTGATAAAAATGTTAAAGAGCACTGGTCCCAGTACTGATCCCTGAGGGACACCACTTGTCACTGATCTCCCTCCAGACTTTGAACTGTTGACCACCACTCTCTGAGTATGATCTTGCAACCAGTTCCTTATGTTCCTTGATTTAACCCATTAAATCCATATTTTTCCAATTTAGAGGGAAGTATGTTATGAGAGACTGTCAAAGACCTTACTGAAGCCAAGATAGGTGACATCAGTGTCTCTTCCCTTGTTCACTGATACAGTTATACCATAATAAATAGCCACTAGGTGGTATGGGGGAGACTTGCCCCTGTTGGAGCTACACTGTTTGTCCAGTCCTTCCTCTCTTCCATGTATGTTCACACAGCTTTCAGGAGTATCTGATCCTGAATATTTCCCAGCAAAGAGATGTGGCTGACAGGTCAGTATTTTTATTGGTAGTCCTTCACAATCTTCTCAAAAATAGGAGTGACATTGCCTTTTTTTTCCATTCACTAGGGACTTCACTCGACAGACATAACTTTTCAAATACTATCAGGAATGGTTTGGCAACTACACCCCTCAGGACTCTGGGATGCACCTCTCCAGGACCCATAGACTTACGGGTGTTCACTTTCTCATGTGGTCACAAAACTGATCTTCATTTATAGTGGGAAGAGTATTTATCCTGCAGTCCACACCTGCCAATTCAGTCTGCAGGGAGGTTGATGGTGGCAGAGTTTGTGGCTGTTATTCACAGTAACTCCAGTATTCAGCATTTTACCTCTAATTGCACTGATTGCTTTTCCCAGCTTAATCCTTGAATGTGCAGTATGGGATTTCAGAAGACTCCCCCGCCCTATATGAAGTTGTCATACTTATTTGTCTAGTGTTAAACAGCAGCTGAAACAAAATGCAATGAAAACATTAAGGAACAAAAATTGTTCATAGGCACCTTAGATTTTACTTACCTATCAACAAAAATGTCACACAGTATTTCAGTGTGTGGGAGTATTATTTTGTGTCCAGAATTCCGTACGAGAAAAGTACTTCCTACTACAGAAAAAGATGAAATTCAAGCTCACAGATCTCTGAAGAGCCATGTGTCTTGTTAAGCTCTGTTCTTCAGAGGTGGTTGTCAAAATCACTGTTTTTCTGCCTACCCTAATCATTGGCTCTTGTGTTTCACTTCTCAGGCAACATCTGCAAAGTGTTCGAATACAGGAACCATTTCACACATTGCTAAGATACTGATGTGATTAATGGTTTTGGGATCTTCACATGATTGTTACCTGTCTGGAACTTTTTCTGCATTTCATCCTTAACCTTTTTGAAGCATAGACAGCACAACGCTGTTCCGTGTTTCTCTCAGTAGTATTTTTGAAAGTATATTGTTCTGTTTAAGTTATGGGCAGATTTTCAGCGGTTTTACACTGCTTTTCATGCAGATCATTGATACAATTGCCACATTGGAATTTATGCCAGCTGAAGATCTTTGCTATTAGACCACATCAGTATACGATTTTCCTCAGTCATCTGATCCAGGAGATGTAAGCGGAAACTCTCTTTACAATAAAAGGATATTTGAAAGTCTACTCTCATCAGCAAAATACTTAGTTGAATCTTAGTGTTTGTGATCAGTGTAATAGCATCTGCTGAAGTGCCGTGCTGATTCAATTTCTCTCCCAGCCCATCTTTCTCTTTGAAATGCAAACACTATCAGAGATTAAACTGCACTAATGCAGATAGTCTTGAAAGATTTATTCAGCAGAAATCATGCAAACATTTCTGCAGCATTTACTCTGATCTGGAGTTAATTTGGCTCATCTTGTTGCCAAGCAATGTCAATTTTAAGCAGTCCGCTGCATCATTCTCTTCCACTGTCCACAGCCACTAAAGCATGGTGCTGTTTGTGTGGGGTGAGGGTGCTGTTTATCAAAGGAACAGGCTTCCACAAAACCACCCTGCAGAACCCTAACGCATGGACAATTAGATGAGTCAAGTGAAGATCTGACCACACCTTTTCCTACTGGGTCCCCCCATGTATGTTCCAGTTAATTGGAGCTTCTGATGAACAAAGATTAAATGCAAATTCCTTGACCAGTGTGTATTACTTCCAGCAAATTCATTTTTTGAAGAAAAATGGTTCAGACAAAGGTCTGCATGACCCAGAACGGAATTTGATTGATATTTTCCAAAATCTTCTGATCTGTCTTTTTTCTTAGCTGAAATTCTGATCTCCTACAAATAAGATTTTTTTGCCATTCGTTTTGTTCATCATCTAATCACTCAGCAAAGTCTGTGTGAAAGTCAATCATTAAACTTTGCCAGGATCAGTTGAATAGGTAGATGTTTTTATGCTAAATTAGCGAGGTGTAATACCACATCACTTTTGTAGCCATCGCT